TCCCCTGAGCAGGCTGGGCCCTTTCCCCAGGAGGATGGACCCCACATAACCAAGAGTCCAGGGGCTCCAATTCCCAAGGCAGAGTGATCCCTCACTAGGTTCTTCTGGATTTCATTCAGCCCCATCAATCCGATCTATATGGCATTCAGCTCAGCCTCTATCCTCCTCAAAATGCATCAGGGAAGCAGCCACTGAATGAATTGTTAATGACAAAGCATGATCCTTTCCCTTGTGTACCTGGCTTGAAATCTAAAGGGCATGGCCTAAAGCAGGGGGCAGCCCCTGAAAAGTGTTAAACCATAGCAATACATGGGGATATATACCCAGGACTTCAAACACATGTATAACGGATGGTCTCAACACACTATGCTCCATATGGATGGAATTGTAATTTTTTTTTTTTGCAATGTGAGGCAGTTTCCAGGGTGGGGACTTTATCAGCAGATGGCAATAATGATTTAATAGATAATAGTAACTCACCTTCTTATAGTGCTTTAAGCTTGGAAAATCACTTGACATATGATCCTCACTACAACCCTGTGATATGTGTGCTATTATTATCCCCATTTAACAAATGAGGAAACTGAGGTCTAGAGAGAGGTTGAGTGACTTGCTTATGGTCACACAAGAAGCCAAGAAGTGTCAGAGATGGAACTTGATCACGGCAGTATCCTCCTGACTCCAAATACTGCACTGCACTCCCTCCAACTAGTGCTTTGATAAATCACCACCACCATCACCTTTGTTTGGATTGGGCCTGTGATTTCATTGGTATTGGGAACTCACAGTAAGAAAGCTCCCTCTGCGAATGCAGGTCACCTCTCCTTCTGCAATGTGTAGTCTTAGAGACTTGCTTGGGATAGAGAGATCAAATGCTTGTACAGGGTCGTGTAGTCAATGTCAGAGCTGGAATTTAAAGCCATATCTTCCTGACTGATGCCAGTTTTCTAACCACGATGCTATGTTGCCTTTCTTACATATCTGTTACCTGGGTGTGTATATTCTTAGTCCTAGCTGTGGAATACTGAATGTGCATATTGTATATTTGTGTTCATGTTAACGATAAGTGCCAATGTGGTTCCAAGGAATGGGCCAGGGTTATAATCCTGGCACTGCCGTTTATTCACTGTGTGATCTTGGGCACTCACTTCCCCTCTCTGGGCTTTGGATTCCAGCTCTGTAAAATGTGGGGGAGGGGATTAAGGGGGATCGATAGTGGACAAAATGATATCTTAGGGACTCTTCTACCTCTAGCATTTTATGGTCTTATTCGCCATTTGCCCCACTCCTTAGATGATCTTGTATTATCCTCCTTGTCCTGGAATTGGGCACCAACAATGTGGATGGCTGTGGCTGAAAGTACCCATGTTTAACTCCCACCTAAAAGTTGACTTACACCTAAGAATGATTCTTTGGTCTATTGAACTCAGCCTCTCAGATTCTCTCCTGATCCACTTTAATTCCAGTGCTTTCTCTTTGTTAATTACTTCCATTTTATCTTTTACATAGCTGACTTATATGTGGTTGTTTGTAAGTTGTTTCCCTCATTGGACGGTGAAGCTCCTTGAAGGCAGCTTTCGCCTTTCTTAGTATCTCAACACTGAGCACAGTGACTGGCACATTGTAGGCTCTTAGTAAATATTTATTGATTGGCTGACTGGTGGGCTGAAATCCATTTATCAAAAGGAATCACCATCAGATAAGAGTCTTCCTGAGGTTGAGGGAGAAGAGAACTATATTTCTTCTCCATATTTCCCCTTTCCTCTAAATCTTCCCTAAGCACACAAAAGGATAAGGGTTGAGGGTGGCCTCTGTCCACGGTCCTGATTCAATTCAATTCAATTTTGTTGGCCTGCAAGCTCAACTAGTGTCAGCAGTGTGATACAGCAGCCAAGGAATCTAATGTCATCCTGGCCTGCATTAATAGAAGTCTGCTGACTGGGATGAGAGGAGAGACAGAGCCATTATATTCTGCCCTGGCCAAATCACAACCAACAAACATTTATCGAGGACTTCCTATGTACAAGACACTGTGCTGGATGCTGGAAATAGCAACAAAATGAAAAAGTCCCTTCCCTCAAGGAGTTTATATTCTTCTTGGGGGACATGACACGTTTGTGTATATATGCATGCATGTATGTATGTATGTATATGTATATATGCATTATATGTATAACATACACAACAACTCGAGGAAGAGAGAAAACCCTAACATCTAATGCGTTTAGGAAAGGCTTCATACAGGATATGGTACATGAGCTGAGCCTTGAAGGAAGCTAAGGATTCTAAGAGACAGAGATGAGGAAAGAATGCATTACAAACATGAGAGACAGTATGTGCAAAGTCATGGAGGTAGAATATAGACTGTCAGTTTTGGGGATTGGCAAGCAAGCCAGTTTGACAGGTGTTTAAAGGCAAATAATGTGCATCAAACCTGGGAAGGGAGGCTGATGCCTGACTGTGAAGGGCTCCAACTATCATGCTGAGGAGCTTGTATTTACCCTAGTAACACTGAAGTTCCTCATCTGAAGTATTACGTTCAATGTTGGGAGATACATTTTAAGCAAGACGCTGACAAGCTGGCATGTCCAAGAGAAAGTGACCAGGATAGTGAGAGAACAGAATATAAGATTATAAGATAATGTAAGATTATATAATAAGAGCTTAGATCTAACATTGGAAGGGATCTCCTAAATCATTTTGCAGATGAGGAAACTGAAACCCAGAGACATTAAGTGACCTAGTGTGCTGGATCATATAGGTCATAATTGGCAGAGCTGGGATTTGAACTCAGGTCCCATGACTTGAAGTTCATTGCTCTTTCTAGGTGATGACTTTTTGATTGTACTGTTTTCCTTTGTTACCTGAGGATTAGTTTAAGGGACAGGAAGTCTTTGACCCAGAGATGTTTAGAAGACTTAGGGCTAAACAGAGAGAGTAGCTGCTCTTGAGTAGTTGAAGGGCTATCACATCAAAAAAGGATCAGACTTGTTTTTCTTGGCCCATGGTGGCACAAGGATCATTTTGGGCATGGTGGAGGAAGCCACAGGAAGGCAGATTGGAAGAAAAAACTTCCTAAGAACTACAGCTGTCCCAAAGCTGAATGGGCTGCTTCAGGACAAAATGAGTTCCCCATTACTGTCTGCAAGATGAGGAAAGAGTAATTCTCATTGGAAAGGTCATAGAAGGGATTCCTATTTAGGTATAGGTGGGAGTAGAGGTCCTTTGAGGTACCTGAGCTCTGAGAGGCTGTGATTGTATGACTGAATTGTTGGCTGGGAGTGGCGTCCCGATCTTTTGTGCATTTACTGCAGTGACACTAGCCCTGTATTGGGCTGGTGGTGTAGTATTGAAGGGGAGAGGTAGGGCTAGAGCTGGCATGGAATCATAGAATTAGAAAGCTGATGAAACTTGAGAGGTCATCTAACCCATTCCCCTGCCTCTGGGCAGTCATACATGTTGGCCCATCCTATTCCTATGGCACAATCCACAGCAGCTGAAAAAAGCACAGCGGGGACTCCACATTCTCCCACACTTCCTTGCATTTTGTGGGGCTTATTACTTACTGTTGGCTGTCATGGGAGGTTTAATTTGGAGTTCCTTGTAATTTTCAGCTGTTGGAGACATCTGTCTGAATGGACACAAGGGGCATTTTCACTTGGAGATTGTTGCTGACAAGGGTGAATGTAGAGTCAGAGGACCTGGGTTCAAATCTCAGTTCTTCCACTTACTACCTTGGGTGACTTAGTAACATAACTTTTCTGGGCCTCAGTCTTCCCATCTGAAAAAAAAAGGTTGGCCCAAATGATTTTGATGGTCCCTTCCAGCTCTAAACCCATGAAGAACTAGTCCCATGAAGGCCCCCAAAGCAGAAGTTCTAACAGTTTCATTGCTAGTGTGAGCACAGCTATGGGTTAAGTGCAAAAAGATAGGGGGTGAGATGGGTTGGAGACCCATGCAAGTCCTTGTACTGTCAACATTTAGAATATTTCCATGAGTTTAAGACTCAGAGGTCATAAAATCTCTGTGGTGCAGTGGAATGTTGAGAATGCTGAATCTGGGGCCATAGGACTTTTGTCAGAATCCAGGCTTTGCTATTTACTATCTTTGTGACCACAGGCCCTCTTAGGGCCTCAGATTCATTTGTAAAATGGGAAGATTTGACTAGGTAACCTCTGAGGTGCCTTCCAACCCTAAGCCTATGAACTATGAACTGGAAAACTAGGAGGGAACCCCCCCCCCAGGTCAACTACCTTTCAAACAAGAGGAAACTGAGGTTTGGGGAGGGAATTGACTTGTCCAGGGTCACCCAGCTACTAAGTGGCAGAGCCAGTGCTAAAATTCAGGTTTGGAGATCTCCCATCTAGATGTAATCCCACAATAGCGGGCTTCTGGTCAGCCATTACTTGTTGAGTCCTTCTCAAAATAATGAAATTTCAATCCAATTACAGGGGAATGTTCTGGTGAAATTTCTTCAGAGTTTCCTCTTGTTCAATTCAAAATCCACACATTCCTCCCTAACTGCAGCGCTAAGGATGGAAAGATAAGCCTGGGAGTTGGGAGTAGTTAACTTGAGAGGAGAAAGATGACTCAGGGATGCAGGCTTTGCCCCTCAGACTATGGACCACTTTGACACTAACTTGCTTCAAGAAGGAAAAGGCGGCTGTATCTCCTGGGCACTTTTCTCCTTCCTGATACTGCAGGCCTCATACTGACACCCCCACCCTGCCACCTCTACAACTGGTCAGCTCCAACCTCTGTAGGAATTCCTTCTCCTCTGGCTACCCTTTTCCTTTCACTTGTGCCCAGAAGCTAATGTGAACAATGCATCTCCCATTGAGTCATCATCCTAAAATGAACAGAAAGGTTAAGGAGGAGAACTTTTCCGACTGGGTGTTGGGTTAAGAAAGGGAGACCAGAAATGAGTTTGGCACTAAATCTCTTTCTCCCTCTCTGTCCATTCCACAGACACTGCAGCCAGCAGGTCTGTGCGGGCAGCCATGTCCTCCACTTTCAACAATGGAGCCAGCATCCCATCGCCACCAGATGCCGCCAATGGCTTCCCCCAACCCAGTGCCTCAGGTGCCTGGCACAGACCAGAGGAGGAGCTACGGGTTGTGGAGCCCAGCCTGGTGAAGAAGGCCCACCGGGAGATCCTGGACCATGAGAGGAAGCGGCGTGTGGAACTCAAGTGTATGGAGTTGCAGGAGATGATGGAGGAACAAGGGTGAGTGAGTCCAGGCAGGTGAATAGATGGGTAACCCAAAGACTGAGTCACTGCAACCCTACTGACCACCTGGAGCCAGCCCACCATTTTAATAATAAGCCCAACAATCATTTATACGATGCTGGCAAAGTGGCTACATATCTGGCCTTAGAGCCAATGTTCCAGTCCCCCTAATGATCTGGCTGTGTGGTCCTGGGCAAGTTCCTTAACTTCTCAGCGCTGTAGTCCAGTGGCATCAGACTCCAACCGAAACAGATCCCCACAGGCTGAATATTGACTAAGAAAACCACAGATTAACTTTATCTTTGTTGTGTTCTATTTGCATTGATTTTGTTAAATATTTCCCAAATACATTTTAATCTGGTCTCAACAGCACTCCAGAGTTTTGCAGGCCAGGAGTCTGATATCTCTGTTCTAAACAATACTCTAAGGTGATAAGGATGACAATGGCTAACATTTATGAAGCACCTACTATGTGCCAGGCACTGTACTAAGCACTTTACAATTATTATGTCATTTGATCCTCACAACAACCCTGAGAGACAGGTGCTATCATTACCCTTTTTTACAAAGGAGGAAAGTGAAATAAATGGAGGCTAAGTGACTTGCCCAGGGTCACACAGCTAGTAAGTGTCTGAGGTCAGATTTGAACTCATGTCTTCCTGACTCCAGGCCCAGCTCTCCCCACTGTATTACCTTGCTGCCCAGTAGGAAGTAGCAGATGGAATTTGAGGTAGAGGGAGTTTTCTTTCCATTCTACCACAATGCCTCACTCAAATCCAATTCAGGTGCACATCAGAGCATGACTCTTGGGGTGTCTTTGGTTCTCTTCAAAAATGAAGGGCCACCGGCAACAACAACCACAATGCCTCTGTAATATTTCTGTGGATCCTTGTGCCATTCTACATTTCCCTGCATCCCAGATGGCAGAGCACTTTGGAAGCAATGAAATTCCTGGCTGGTGAGCCTGGTCCCCTCCCTGACAAGCATGCTTGCCTGATGTAGCTGCAGTCTGGGGAATGCAGAAATACCAACTGAGCTGTTGGCAAATCAGCTGCTAACACACCCCGTGGCCAGCCAGAGCCCTATACTGGAAAGAGCCTGGGGTGGCTGATGCAACTATGGCCATGGGATGAAAGCAAGGGGTGCCAGCCTTGAGCCTGGGGGCTTTGGAAATGTGAATCAAGATTTGTTCTCAGATGTCAGAGTCCTGAGAAATCATATTACAAGAGGAAAGGAAAATGGATTTGGAGCCTGATGACCTAGCTCAAATGCTGCCTCTGGTCCATATTACTTGTGTCACTTTGGGCATTCACTTAACTACTCTGTGCCTCAGTTTCCTCATCTGTAAAATGAGGGGGTTGAACTAGATAGCCTTTGAGGTTCCTTCCTAATCTAATTCTCCGATCCTGATGAGGGAGGATGGTAACTGTACTCCTATCCCCCTGAAGAGTGGATAATAGCAAAGGACTCAGAGCCTATGGGTAACATAGTATAAAGGAAACAACACAGACTTTAGAGTCAGGAGATCCAGATTCAAATCTTGGCTCAGACACCTGCTATTTGGTGGGCCCTGAAAGAAGGAATCATGGGAAAGTCATTTCACCTCCTGAGCCTCAGTTTTCTTGTCTGTAAAATGGGAATAGTTATTGGTATATTTAAAGGGTGGTTGTAAGCAACGTGCTTTGTCAACTTCAAATCACTAGGTAAATTTGCAGGGGTTTTTGTCCCCTATCGATCTGAGGATGCCTCTAATCATACACTCCCACTTCTATGTCTCCTTAGGGTTTACAAAACTCACTCCTCACAGTGCTTCTGTGAAGGCGAGAGTGTCAGTATCGTTTTACAGACCAGGAAAATGATGCTCAAGATCTGGCCCTAGGTCACCCTTCTGACAAATGTCAGATTTGAACCCAGGTTTCCTGTCTCTCAGTGCAGGACTCTTTCCACTCAGCTCAGCCCTGCTGTGAGATTCTGATGTCCTGGGCTCAAGGAGTGGCTTAAGATTCCTCAAGTTCAACGGTCAGTCATGGGAGCACAAAATTCTAAATCTAGAGCTGGAAGGGACCTGGAAGGTTAGCTGGTCCAACACCCTCATTTCACAACCGAGGAAACTGAGGCCCAAGGAAGTTAAGTGACCTGCCCAAGGTCACACAGGTGGGCCCCTCCTCTGGGCACAGCCCTGGACTGGATACTGCAGAGGATGGGGAAGAAAACCTCAAAAAGCCCTTGATATGATGAAGGAGATACCAGCCCTGCCTTCAAAGAAGAGATGATGAGATATAATTCTTACCTTCATGGAACCCTGGTCTGGTGAGGAAGACACAATTCCTCTTTTCCCATCTCTCCTCAGTCCAGCAAAAAGACAGTTACACCTACAGATGATTGGTAGAGTAGCTAGGAAGACTGGGGAATTCCACCATCTCTTAGTAGCCCTAGAAACTGGGTTAGTTCTCACTGGGCTGGCTAGATCAACAGTAAGATCAGAGGCATCACATCTCACTTTGGTTTAACAAGAGAGACTTTTTTAAACTCAGACCTATGATTTTATTGGTATGGAGAATTGCTCATGAGGAAACACTCTATGCCAATGCAGGCTGGCACCTGCCCTGCCCCATATAGTCTTAAAGAATTCCCTGGAGCATTGAGAAATAAAATGACTTAGTGCCCAGGACTTGCTGACTCCAAGGCCACCTTCTTATTCATTCTGCCTCTCTCATTAAGCTAGATTTGCCAAGATATTTCCACAGTTCTCCCATTGGATCTTTGCCACAATCCAATAAGACAGCGGGAATTATTTACCCCTTTGAACAGATAAAGAAACTGAGTCTCTCAATGCACAAATGGCTTGCCTAAAATCACTCATTTTCTGCCAATTCCCATCCTGGTGCTTGGTGCTCAGTGAGATGCTCAGACCACCCAGAGGATGAAGGAGACAGCCACTGGTGTCCTTTTTATGGGGGAGAGAAAGGATGCTTCTGTGAGTCCTTCAGCTAGCAGCTCCTCCCAGGAAAGGGTTGAAGCTGGATTCCCTGCTCCAGTTTCCTTCCCCAAGGGACGTCACTTAGCTGCAGGGCAAAGGGAGTAGGAGAAGTAATTGCTGCTCAGTTTTCCTTCCAATTCTCTCCTGTTGCCTCTGCAAGGAAATTCCTGGATAAGGTGAGCCTGGAGCCCTGGGGAAACAGGAGGTGATGTCCCTTCATGGAAGTCAGTCCAAGGTCATCTCATTCACCAGGCTAGTAGTTGGTGGAGAGAGGGAGAGTTACATCTCTTGGGGCCAATGCCCCATGGAAGGGGTGAGAATTGTATGTATATGTTAATACCTAGGGTCATGGGAGGAGATTCTAAAAGCGGAAGTTCCATTCTAGGGATAGGGTCTCAGGGCTGGGCATGGGGTCTAAGTTCCAGAGATAAGGACTCAATTCAAGGAAAAAGAGCTAGGTTGTAGGTACTAGAACCCAGAATAAGGATGCCAAATAATCCACTAGGCTCATCCTAAGAAATGATATGTTTCCTAAACTCCAAGTGAGTGTTGAGAGAGGAGGAGATGGAAAGAAACAGACAGAGACACACACAAAGCAAGTTATTAGCAGGCAATACAAACATATTTGAAAGAGCTGATGAGCTATTGATGTGCAAAAAAAAGAAAATTCTGTTTCATGCAGCAAAACTGTGGGCTGTGGTCCCTGAAGAGGGAGTGGTGGGTCTACAGGTGCCTTAATTAAAGGCCATCATCTCCATAGTTAGGAGAAACAAGTTGCAATATTGTATGTGAAAATGATTTGACAAAATGACAGAAAACCATTTCTAAGAATGGGAAAAGTACTGAGCACATATACTTAATTCTAAGTCTTCATAACTGACACTAAGCCCGGAGGCTTAGTGCCCATTCCAGGCACTCAGGCCCCTGCCCTGCCCTTCAGTTCACAGCTCTGAGTCCCCATCTCTGACGCTGAGCTCTAGTCCCTGGGACTGAGCCCCATCCCAACACTGAGCTCAAATGCCTGAAGCAGAAGCCCCCTCCCTAGCACTGAGTCCATAGCCTAGGCCACTGTGACCCTGAGCCTGTATTTCAGACCCTCTGCCCCCAAACCCAATACAGAGGTACCATCTCTTACATTGAGCTCTTAGTCACCAAAAAATGTGCCCTCGTCCCTAGTACTGAGTGAGTCTTTGTCCCTGACACTAACTCCATAATTCTAGCAATAAACTCTCATCCTCACTACTGACTGTTCATCTCTAGCATTGAAACCTATCCCCACTCCTGGCACTGAGCCTCAATCCCTAGCTGAGCCTTCAGGGATGGATGGGATTTAGACAATCAGGGCAAGAGGCCCTGAACATTACAGGTGGGAGTAACAACTTTAGTTAAGGTACAGAGGTGGTAATCACATTCAAGGCTATTCATTCACAATTTTGTTTGAGCCAGTCTTTCTAGTCTAATTTCAACTATTTCTCTTCACATACTATATGTCCCATCACATAGATACCTCACTGTTTCCTGTCTTTGTCCTGTTCTTTTTTGTTGCTTGTATCTTCCCCCATGGCTGGAATGGACTCCTGTCAGCCGGAATCTTTACCGATTGAAATTCTGCTCTTCAAGGTTCAGCCCAGGCACCAACTTTTCCATGACTCTTTCCTCAATTCGCCTTGCCTCCTTCCCCCAATTAAAGAGGTCTCTCCTTCCCTGCCCCAATCTGCCTGTATCTTCTCTGCATTGACCTCAATCTCCCTTGGCTCATGGCTACTTCTGTGTTCCTCTCTTCTCTGTCCCTATTGGAGTGTAAATTTCTTGAGAGCTAGCTAGATGTCAGATGTATCTTTTATCTCTAGTAACCAGTTCTATGCCTTATACACAGATAGTGCTTAATATGTTTGTCAGATAGAATGGTATGGTGTATGCAAGAGACAGTGAAGAAACCAGCTTAGCTTAGAAAAGCCAACAGCTGGGTCTGAGTGAGTGGTTGGAGGCAAAGATGTTTGGCATAGGGGCTAGATTG